GATTGTAAGGAAAACATAAGTCACATCAAAATTAATACCCTAAAAACAAGTTCTGATTTTTTAAAATTATTTCCCACTAATGAGAGAGAGAAAGATAATTTCTACCAACGTAGAAATCTATCTGCTTTATCACCGGGTTTTTTATATTGCGCAGAGTCAAAGCAACTTTTTTCGACTCATTTATATTCCTTAAAAATATTTTTATTTCTTTTAAAGCAGAAAAGCAACGCACACAATGCTTATTGTTAAAGAGATGGATTTGATTCGCTCCGAATCCGGGGTTCAGACATTGTATTACCATCAAAAAACAGGTTTTGACCGTCAAATAACCGTAAACATGAGTTAATTTCATAAAATGGACACCGGATTCAAGTTCAGCGACCCCAAAAACGTATGTGTATGGTGGTCTAGTCTATCTCATATTAATTTTTTTCCCTGTAGGGCTATGTAATCGCTCTTATTTTATGTTTTGACTAAAGAGTAGAAAGTTTAACTAGATTTGAACTTAATAAATAAAGGTTTGTCGCAAAATTCCTGATATCAATTTTTATTTTTAATGGGGAATATTACAAAGAGGTTTGTTATTTTTTTAATTATGTGGGGGTTGCAGGTTGATTATTTTTTTATCCAACACTTGTATATAATGATACTATAATTTCTTTGGTTTTAAAGGAATAATGTGGCTTATAAGTCACTAGTGAGTTATAAGTCATAGAAATCATAAAAAGACAAATGTTTGGTTTATTTTTCCAGTTTTTATTATAAAACCGATTTGAAACAGTAATAAGTCAACAAATAACCTAAAATGCTACAAACTTACAATCTACCTACTTATTAATATTAACATTAACATTTATGGTAAAGCCGTAATTTGATGCCAAAGGATTATTGGAATCATTTCGTGATTGTGGTAAATTTATAGAACAGGTTGCCCCTTTGCTTGTGCTTGCTTCAGGAGTCTGCACCCCTTGTATCTTTTTAGCAATATCAAGCCATGGCCTGTATATAAATTAGAATCTGTCAAGCCCAAAAATCGAGCAACAACATTAGGGATTTTTGATAGCTTATTAATACCAACACATTGTCGTGTGCATTTTCCGTTTTGAAAATTGTAAAAGAACCTTTTATGCTGCACATTTTGAGGCCTTAGCTTAGAATATTTTCTAATTAATTCAATTGGATTAACACAAAGTCCTTCATTTAACACAGCGAAGCTTCTTGGTTTGTTCGTTTTAGTATTGGAAATCATGATGTGGATATATTGACCTTTGTCCTCTAGATTGTGTATGCTTAGATGGGTCAATTCCTCGCAACGGCAAGCACCAGACACTCCTAATATCAAACTATCGAGCAGGTGATAAGGTATGGAATTGTTACTGTGGCTTATCAAGTAAGAAAAAAAATGTATACATTAGAGAAGGTCTAGTAAACATTTCCCTATTTTATTTTTTTCCGATACATTGCTATAAAAAGTAACAAAAAAATGGGGGGTTGCTTAAAAAGAATAAACAAACCTTTTTGTAACCCCATTGCGACAAACGACATTTTACGACAAACCTTTATTTATTACAGAATTTGTTCCAGTTGGTTGGTATTAATTTAGATATAAGTTTGTTGTAGACATTATTCATAACGTTTTAACAAACTTTTCGACATTTTTAGCGAACAGAGATAAATATTTTTGCCAAAATGACACATGGCTACAATAATGATAAACATGTGGGCACGATATTAATTTCTGGAGAATGCCTTCAAAGTTATGTACAAACATCTCGACTCTGTGCGTGGTACTATCCTAATAAGATCCCCGTCAGCATTGAAGAACGAATTTCCACCACACTTCTGCATTTTCTTGTAATAAAAGTATGACAGGTCCGCCTCTGGCCCCATCATTTATCTTTGACGTGCCTCGAGAGCACAGAATCCTAGTGAATGAGGTTCGTTGCGAAATGTTCCTATCGAATTTTATTGTATCATTCTAATCAGCTTAATCCAGTAGTCTTTGATATCAAGTAACCTTCATTGTTCCATCTGATTTGTGCTGAGTATTTATTTTCTTTCCAATAAAAACAAGACTCGTTCGGAATTTACGAGTACAATAATTCAAAGAGCCTGTATTTGTTAATGTGAACTCATCCATCCAATTTATTAGACGAAAATATTGAAAAGTTGCAGTAGTAGCCTTAATATTTTTCCACAGATTAAGTTGGCAACTCGAACAGTAGCCCGTTCCAAATTGCTGATTATTAATGGCCAGCCGATTGGCCTTTCATAAAGTGCACTGGCAAAACCCCGCTTGTAAAGAATTTTTGCAGTATCCGCTTTTTACCAGTGTCGCTAATTATTGATTTTGCTTATGAGTACATGTAGATTTGGACTCGATTCTGTTGAGATCCAGTTGTTTACGTTTTCAGTCGTGCTGCTGCGGGGGCGGAAACTTTTTAATGCCTTGAGATATTTGCGAACTGTCGTGAAATCGAAAAAAATGATTCGCCTATCCGCGTCACAGGCGGCTACGAGGGGTAGAAGCTACACTAAAAAGATTGTCGTAGGACGTAAACAATTTTATTTGATTCTCTTACAGATACATTTTATTATTTTTTTGTTGTTTATCGTTCTGTTATCGAAAATGAATAAACTAGCGAGATAGATATCCGATATGAAATGAAATTCAAAACTTTTCTATGTTCAATTTTCTTAATATATTAATATTTTCATTAAACTTTATTTTACTAAAATTCAACAATTATTTTCTATTCACCCTTACATATCCAATATTGATATAAAATACATTTCTGCTGGATTTGCTAGCAAATCGATATGTGTACAAGTTAACTTTCCCATTTGCAAAGTCCAAAATCAACAGGAGGTAAGACAATAGAGAGACAAAATAAGACAAAACATATAAACAACAGGCAAGACAACAAGCAGACACAATAGGATTGAACAAAATACTACTGTGTCGAAAAAATAAGGTGAATTATTTATTAATTCGCGGGTATTATGAAAACATAATTTTTTGTAGGTTGGTAATACTGTCCTTGATAACTATGCAGAGTTTCATGACAATATATTCAATTGCCGCAGAGCCACTCGTATGTTTGTAAATATACGAAAGTGAGTTTATCGATTTTCACTATGTTTGATATTGTTGAGAAAGCATTGAATTCGAGACCATTTCGTCAAAATTTCAACTCAAATCGTTCCGCAACCACCGTATTCGCCCGATTTGGCACCGAGTGACTTCTGCCTATTCCCTAAACTCAAAGGACCACTCTGTGGACGCCATTTCGACTCGATCCAGGAAATAAAAGCCAAATCGACGAAAGCATTGAAGACCATACGGAAAAGGACTTTTCAGACTATTTCGAGAGTCGGAAAAAACGTTGACAGAAGTGCATTGTATCGAATGGAGATTACTTTGAAGGCGACGAAATTGATTTGGAAGCATAATTAAAGATTTTTTATTTTTTAAGCAAATTCACCTTATTTTTTGGACAACGGGTTACGTTACATGACAAGAACAAGACAGCATAGTAGGGTAGAGCAAACAAAAGACAAGACAAAAGATAAAAAATGACAAGGCAGTAAAATAGATAAAGCAAGAAAGAAAGACTGTAGATCGAAGTGAATAAAAGGGAAGAACAAAGCAAGACAGAAGGCAAATAAAATGAAAAAGTAAGAAAAGACAAGAAAACGAATCAAACGATATAAAAATGGCAAACTACTTTGAAAAATAGATGACTGGCACTGCTACTTAGTAACTAGTACTTGATAAGTGTTATTTTGTAACTGCTACTTTGTAATCGCTACTTAATAACAGCTACTTCGTAAGCGCTACTATGTACCGGTAACTTTGTAATCTGTACGTTGTACACTTTACTGTTACTTTGTAACCGTTACTTGGAACCTTTTTTTTGGAACCGTGACTTGGAACTGTTCCTATCAACCGATTTTTCGCATATTTTCAATTATTTTGCAATACGCTCACAATTTGCACAGGAAAGTACAATTCTTAGAGAATTTTAAGCCCAAGATGGTCACGTAAGTGCATTACTCTATGATTTATTGAAACTTGAAAAAAAAGTATTTTTTCGAAAAACTCAATTTTTGCAAAAACTATCAAATATTTTGCAATTTTACGAAAAAACTCTTATTCTACTTGCCAAGGACTACATATTCTGAAAGTTTCGTAAAAAAATTTTCTTTCGTTTTTAAGATATAGAAGTTAAAAAAAAATCGATTTTTAGCCGTTCTTTTCCAATAACTAACACATTTGTTTATTAATTGACATCGGACTGGGCTCAATTTTTTTTTTATAAAAGGTTTTGTTAAAACTTTTTTTTCTAAAATGTTTAGTTTTTTTTGTTTAAGAAATAAACTGTTTTTTGCGAACTTAGGTTCTACGGAATTTTTCTTAATTTTTATGTTTTTGTTTACAAAACTAAATTTTGGCAAAAAACGTGGTATTTTCGACAATTTGACTGGCCTATATATCCCCCAACTATTGTTTAAGAGACTCGATATTGTCTGATATTGAAAATATTGTCTTGTGTCCCAAAGAGAACATTTTTTAAAAAACGTTCACAGCGCAACGATTTTTCGGTTGCGACCGCTGGGCGCAGGGGTGTTTCGATCGGAGTGACTTCGGTGGCGTGAAAACTTCAATGAAACTACTCCAATCGCTTATTTCGTTGACAATTCTAGAACCAAAAAAACCATCCTCGCCGTAGTGCTACTATTCCGTGCCGAAAACCACTTTCCACTTCCCGATTTTCCTCCCGCACGGCTATGCGGCCGGTGTCATTGGCCACACACCCCGCGGGTGGCGATCATCCCCGATCTCCCTGAAGTCCCAGTAGGCGCCGGCCTTTCTAGGCGTCCCCGACCCGCCCCCCCGCGCGTCTCGTCGCACAGCCAGCTAGTTCCGTCGGCGTCGTAGCCGCACACGGCGACCGTCGCGACGCACTTTGTTTACCAACTCCTTCTGGTGTGCTGGGATGGCTACGAGGACGAGGTACTACGGGGTGTACGTCGGTGTCATCGCGCTGCTGGCCTTCCACGTGGAGAAAGGTGGGTGTCCTCCGTGTCTGGCTTCTGTGCATGGTTTTTGGTTAGCGATTGTCGCAAACTTTGGCAGGCTTGCTTTTATTTCCACCCTTTTGCAAATAGTAGGAAGCTTTTGTTTAATTGTGTGTTTCTGTGCAAAGAAAATAAAAAGGAATTAAGTAAATAACCCCTGCACGAATCAAGGGATTCATTTTAAACATTTAATTTTGTTTAGCTAGAAATATCTCGTACCAAAAAAGTAAATTATAGTTCTTCGAGATTACACAGCAGTCCTAGGATGACTACTGTGATTATCGCCATCTTTTTGACAGTGTCCAAACCATAGAAATGTCGAAATACAAGGATTCCTTTAATTTTTCGCAGTGAAAGATGGCCACTCTTGTAAACATCAGAAAAACATACCTTCCCTGTTTTGTTAAGAGTTTTGTAAAAGATACGCAATAATTGTGATTAATTCATGTGTTAACAGTCCCTTAAAATCATTCTACAGGGTGTGATTATGTTTATAGTACCTTTTATGTACATTCAACAGGTGTATAAAGGACACCTAATTAAGCAAAAGAAGTTTTAATATCCTTTTTTCTTATTCTCTACATATTGTTGGCTGTATGACTTATTTTGTGTTTTTTCTTTTTGCGCCAGCCTTCGATAAAATCATATGCTTATTCATGTTTAAACGATTTTAGAGACTTATAAACAGATAAGTGTAAAAACGTCAAAAAATTCTACTGACTGATAATTGTGATACATGCCTACTTTGTTTTTAATGCAAGCTTTGACGTCTTTCCGATCTAGATCAGCAACAATACTTTCTGAGCTAAAATGTGATCGGAACTAGCAATTTGTATAAAAATATGTATATTATTAGAAAATCAAGAAGGCGTATATAATGACTCAAATTTATGTTTTATATATTACCTATTTTACCTTCACCAACTTGTTCACTTCTTAGTCCATTGAAATGAAGGCTGAATTTTTTCCTCTGTCGATCAAACCTGGGCGCAAATATGTTTTCGACCCTCAGGAATCCGAATCCGCAAAAATTTTTGACCTAGGTGGTCAGGAAAGGGGTCAAAAGGTCAAAAAACCGTAAAAAATAAGGTTTTTCGGAAATATTTCGTAAACTACGGCAAGTAGCAAAAAAATAATTGCACCATCGTGTTCCCAGGGAAATTTTACATCGATTTTATGCTATTGCTTATTAAAATTAAATAAATTTATGTCATGTTTTGGACAATTACTAAGGAAGAGAGGGGAAGTGTATATCTCCGGCGGTGAAACCTATTTGGGGACTAGTAGAGCGCGCACGCTCGGCTGACTCGCAGTTGACAGCTCTAGCAGGTGTGTCTTTGGAATATAATGCGATTTCAAATATAATTAGCCTGCAGTTGTAGTGGATTTTTTTTTGCTACTTTAATTTTTAAATGGAAAACCAAAAATATTACTAATGATTAATGAATGACAGAAAAAAAATTTTAGAACGAAATACTTATTGCAAAAATGAAATATACAAGGTGTCCCGAAATTAGGGGGCAATATTTCTACAGGGTGTTCTATGTCGAAAAAGAATAATTTTTCTTTATATAAACGTGGGCCCAAAAATTCTTCCTAAGGAAGTTATAGCTACTTAAAGGGTCTAATCTGATGATGGTTTTTTCTAAATAACTCCGAAACCAGTAGAGATAAATTTATAAAATTTGGTAGTTAGCTTAACTCTTATGTGCTCAGTCCGCTACTGAAACGAAATTTACAAATTTTCATCACATACGTTCCAAAACTGGAGGGGAAGGGGGTAAAATTTACCATAACTTTTTTGACTTTTGACTGAAAAGTATGAAATATCAGAGTTTTTTAGTAAAAAAAGGTACTCTTGGTTCATATTGGTAGAATGTTCAATTTTTGTATAAAATCCATTAAATATAATTTTACACGTGTTAATCACCGGAAATCGAAATTTTCAATATTTTTTATCATCGCAGGTTTTGAACAACAAACATGCGTTTGGCGTCATTTGAATTGACAGTTCAGTTATTTACTCTTTGCGAATTGTTATCAGTTGAAAAGGCAATATTTTACGAATGTAGAACTAGCAGATATTCATAATACCCATTTCCGGTCAGACGAAAATCCACGGGCAATACAGCGCACAAATTTTCAAAATAGATTTGCAATAAATTTGTGAACAGGAATTTTAGGGGACCTAGCTACTTGGACCAATCCAGTTTCCCGTTTGTCTGAATACAGAAGGATACTTAAACTTTCTGCAAAACTTTGTAAGAGAACTATTGGATGATACACCGTTAAATGTACGCTTAACATTACACTATCAATAACCTCTCTTTACCCATAATGTCATAAATTGATTAAACGATAATTTTCCTTTCAAGTGGATAGGTAGAGGTGGTCCCATTCCATGGCCACCTCGGTCTCTAGACCTATATCCTCTAGATTACTTTCTGTGGGGTAGGTTGAAGGCTGTAGTTTATGCTACAGAAATAAATCATTTGGAAGAATTACAACAGCGGATTCATTTATTTGGCTGCAAATCATTTGTTTTTTTTTTACTTTGTCAAATAATCATTTCCTAAAGATTCGAGAATTTTTATGAAGACAACAATTCACAAAAACTAAATAACTGAACTGTCAATGCAAATAACGTCAAATGCATATTTGTTATTCAAAATCTGCGACGATAAAAGTATTGACAATATTATTTTTAAACGGATTTTACACAAAAATGGAACATTCTACCGATATGAACCAAGAGTACCTTTTTTTAATAAAAAATTATGAAATTTCATACTTTTCAAAAGTTAAAAAAAGTCAACGCACAAAAAAGTTATGGTAAATTTAGGAAGAATTTTTGGACCCACGTTTATATAAAGAAAAAGTAATATTTTTCGACACAGAACACCCTGTAGAAATATTGCCCCCTAATTTCGGGACACCTTGTATATTTCATTTTTGCAATAAGTATTTCGTTCTAAATTTTTTTTTTCCGTTCATTCATTAATCAGTAATATTTTTGGTTTTCCATTTAAAAATTAAAGTAGGAAAAAAGAATCCACAACTGCAGGCTAATTATATTTGAAATCGCATTATATTCCAAAGACACACCTGCTAGAGCTGTCAACTGCGAGTCAGCCGATACATGTAGCATGCGCGCTCTACTAGTCCCCAAATAGGTTTCACCGCCGGAGATATGCACTTCCCCTCTCTTGCTTAGTAATTGTCCAAAACATGACATAAATTTATTTAATTTTAATAAGCAATAGCATAAAATCGATGTAAAATATCCCTGGGAACACGATGGTGCAATTATTTTTTTGCTACTTGCCGTAGTTTACGAGATATTTGCGAAAAACCTTATTTTTTACGGTTTTTTGACCTTTTGACCCCTTTCCTGACCACCTAGGTCAAAAATTTTTGCGGATTCGGATTCCTGAGGGTCGAAAACATGTTTGCGTCCAGGTTTGATCGACAGAGGAAAAAATGGAGGTTCAGCCTTCATTTCAATGGACTATTCTACAATGTCCTATAATACATTTGCCCATGAAAAATAACTAATTATTATTGAAATTAAAGCGTACAGTTCAAGTTTCCGGATACGACTGATGCTGGGCTACCGACTAGACTCCCAACTGCCTTTATCAAAATCGCCCTATAGCCAGTTTAGGTGGTCTATGGTCAAGGCAGTTTCTCACTAGAAGTGTGGAATGTGCAGAACAGAGCTAAATTTTGGGGGAGACCTTGGGTACACCATTAGAAATAAAGTGTCAAAACTCCCCACCGATCCCATGTGTGCTAAAAAAGTTATTCAGGGTCAAAGGTCAAAATTTTAGGTTTTTTGTATTTTTTTCGAAAACGGTATGTTTTATCAAAAAAGTAGCTCTGACAAAAATTATAGATCTGAAAATTATCTACAAAAATGGTCGTTATACTTTTTTTTCTAAGAACCATCATTCCTAAGATATCGCGATTCTAAAAGTTGAAGCAGTCACTTTCTACATGATATGCACATATATGCAACGTATATACATAGTCAAGTACTCAATGCAAGTAAAAATGCCTATTTGTGTCTGTTATATGTATGAACTATACTATTCTGAGAATATCCACTGAAAAGAAACTCAGTCCCTTAGTCAAAATGACACAGATGTCCTTATAATTGAAACAGCAATAGAACAATTTAATGCAACAAATACAACTATTGTAGTTGGTGAAGATGTTGACTTATTAATACTACTCACTGCAAGGACTCCAATTGATAAAATTATATATTTTTTAAAACCTGGAAAGGCCCAACAGCGAACAGCAATATATTTATCAAAAAGTTGATCTGCTTATCCAAAATGCCAAAACCATATCTTCTTTTTACATGCGATAACCGGCTGCGATCAGCAATGTTCAGAAGGTGTAAAACATCAGTATTAATCATCAGAAATTGACTCTTCACCTCAAACAATAATCACAAAAGGAATTCGCTTTCTTCTTGCTGTTAAGGAGCTCCAAAAAAAATTGATTGTATAGATAAATATAGATATTTATTTAGATGTAAAAAATACACGAAACAAGAAACAAGTACAACTACCTTGTCTTCCTCCAACATCGGCTTTCGCTAATCAACACTTGTATCGAGTATACTATCAAGTTCAGACATGGCTAGGCAATCGACTGAACCCAGAAGACTGGGGTTGGAAATTAACAGATAATACTTTGGAACCGATTCAAACTTTACTTCCACCTGCTCTGCCCAAAACTCCTAAACACTATTTTTTGCAATTGCAAAAAAGGTTGTAGTGCTAAATATGGCTGTAGAAGAGTAGGGTTACTGTGTTCTCCAGCGTGTACTAATTGCCAAAACCAGTCTTGCTCAAATTGAATACAACAGACGAAGATTCATGTGATTTCGATGAGACAGCTGATTCATCTTCATTTGAACAATTTATCAACATTCAGGAGGAAAAAGAGGATGAAGAAGAAGAAATCGAAGAAGACATGACTCTTGAAGTCGACTTTGAAGAGTATGAATCAGATTAAAATATCAAAAGAAATCAGAATTGCAGTTAAAGTCAATAACCAATATCAATATCAATAATCATCATACAGTTAAAAGAGTATTGTCCCTGAAAATTCCGTCATAACAGTTGGTGGAGTAGGCCTACCAGGGAAACCACTTTAAAAAAAACGCGTCAAAGTACACTACCTCACAGGTGGTGTGAAAATGTGTGCATATCATGTAGAACGTGACTCCCTCAATTATTAGAATCGCGATATCTCAGGAATGGTGATTCTTAAAAAAAAAGTACAAGAATTTTTGTAGATAATTTTGAGATCTATAATTTTTGTCAGGGCTACTTTTTTGATAAAATATACCGTTTTCGAAAAAAATCCAAAAAACCTCAAATCTTGACCTTTGACTCCGAATAACTTTTTTAGCACACATGGGATCGATGGGGACTTTTGACACTTTATTTTATAATGGTGTACCCAAGGTCTCCACCAAAATTTAGCTCTGTCGGAATTTTCGTTATATGTCTATTTTGACCGGGCTGTAATTATTATTGAGAATTTCTAAAACGAATTTTAATTGAGATTTTCTTCCAAAAAGTAAGGACCAATTATTTTATGATACATTATGCCACATCCGCCATTTACCTTTTTAAATTTTTTCTATTAGTTTTCAGTTGATTTGGATTATTTTTTACCCAGTATCAACAATTTTGAGAGAAAACCACGCCGTTAGTTGTGAATGTTTATTCGTCAGTAAATAAAATATTGCAATGAAAGAATCTGTTTTCAATCAGTTTCTCGTCCATTGTTAAACAAAAATCCAAACGACGTCCATCATTTCCATAAAGCAATTTATTAAATTAAACACCGGTTTGAATGGATAGTTTTTGTTGTGTACTAAAATTCTTTGAATATGAGATCTGCTAATATCTATGTTTTTTTACTTTTTCCTGAGTGATATATTTGGATTGTCTTCTACAGAGTCCATAACTACAACAAAGCAGCATCGTTATTATTGTATTTTTTTATCCTAATATTCTTTACATCACCAGTGGTATCGTACCTATTTTATAATTAGCTTGCGAACTGCTCTAAAAATTACATAGAGTTAGATACTTTTCATTAAAAATTTGTATGTAACTTTGCTTTCTTGCTAGCTAGCTTTTGAGTTGATTTATTTGATTTCTCATGAATACAAAATTATTTTTTATTTCTTTGTAGCACAATCCGCTTTAGAAAAATAGGAATACAGGATAAATGATTAGCGATTATTTTTAACTTTCATAGAACAATATATGCCGATAATAAATTAACACCTATTTCTAAATTTAATAAATCTTTTTCTACCTCTATTACTGACATAAATTTCGACTGTTGAAAAACTAAAGGGACTTGATTTTTTTCATATACGTCGCTGTCTAAAATTTTTATTTGGTTTTCTAAAATTGTTTGTATGAAATCACAACAGGAAAAAAGAAGAAATACAGTTTCATAATAACCTACATATCGAGTAATCCAAGTTTAGATAAATTTAATCTACAATTATTTAATTAATATTAAATTATCTACAATTTTATCCAACTGTACGTCAATTTTTAATCCACTTTTTAGTTTTATTGCCAGAATTTCCCAGAACCACTCTTTGAATTTTTCATGTCACTTCAGATAGTACGAAATTTTTCACGAGAATCCACTTTTATATTTCAACTTAAGCACTATTACACTTTCACGGTACACAAGCAACCTGGGCACTCGAAAAAAACAATTACACACCGTAAAAGAATTGTTTCTATTTTAGACAGCGCCGTACCAACCTTTTATTTAAATGGGTTGCGTCCAATTATTCAATGGCTTAAACCGAAAGTAAACGATTATGATACAGGTAGGAACCCACGAGAGAGAAAAAAGCAATTTTTGACGATTTTTTATGGCTTTCAGGGTACGCCGTGAAGTGTTACAGTTGCTCATCGAAGAACCTCGAAGCCTGCATAAAACCGGACGACAACGAGTACACCCCTGTGCATTGCGACATCACCAGACTGGAAGAGATGAAGAATAACTCCAAGTACATCCACAAGGAGTATGAGAAGATCTTCGACGTGGATACGCAGCACCTCGTAGGGGTGGATTTGGTCTGTCTCAAGGTGGTGGTGCAAGGTCAGTGCAAATTTGGTATACAAAGTGTTGCAATTATCAACCGACAGCTTGGGGCAGGATTTTCTGACCAAATATAAGACAATAAAATTAAGGAAAAATTATATTAACGATTTATGCAGTTGTGGCACTGTTTACTTTAATTTGACAACAATGCACAGCCCTGTTTCCAATTGTGCGTGCGCTGCGACTCACGCGCGCCGTTGTTTGAGGGCACACTAGCTTGTCCAGCAGCGGGGTATGAAAATTACAAAAAAAAGGTTAAAAGAAATAAGTTTTTACGAGGAATTTAAAAAAATAAACTGTTGATACGTATTTCTAAAGATCAAAAGTAGCCTATGTATGACTCCCACTCAAAGTTACACTCTTATTAGCCCAGTTAGTAGAAGTTCGGCCTGTGTCAAACCTTGATAACCCGGAAATAACTACACAGCTATTTAACATTTTGCGCCTGTTACCCGTAGTCGTACATTATTCAACATATCAACATAAAACAAAAACGTACGTGTGGGGTAAACCTTTAACTTTAAGTAAACAATTGTTTAAATTTACTGTTGCATTTTTCTAATAGTATACAAGCGCCGAAGAGCGGAGCTCGCGATCTAAAATGAAACGTTAAAGGTTTACCCCACACGTACGATTTTTTTAAATTGTAGGTAATTATGCTGGCTAATCTACCGTAATGGAATATTTTATAGATATACATAAATATACGTCCAAAAATTAAAAAACGGTGACGTATAAAACTAGGGTGACGTATAAAACCTTACCAAAACTGCAAAAATGAAGATACTTGAATTTTGCAAATTGCTTTTGGCTTCTGCATATTTACACTATGTGTGTACCAAATTTCAAGTGTCAGCAAAGCTTCGAACAAATTTGGCAAAGTTTCGAGTTTCAGATGCCGATGAATGTATAACACCTTATAGAACAAAAAGTTTTGCTCTCCTGATTTTCGG